CCGCCCCACACTCCTCCCGCCCCACACCTCCGCAGGACCGAGCGACAGCCGTGCAGCCGCGCCGCACCACCGCCCTGGCGCATCGCCTCGCGCGAGCGGCCGTACGGAGGCGCCGGCGAGCGGACCGTCGAGCGCGCCCACCGGCCACGCACGGGGATCACGGCAGACGGCGCGGCACGGAGCGGCCAGGTTCCTCCCGAGGGGCGGCCTCGTCTTCATCAACCCGCCGTGCTGCGAGCCGGTCATGATCATCAGCCACGAGTACGCGAGGTTGAATACCGTGGACCAACCGACGAGGAGGACCCCGATCGACGTGCAGAGGAGCCCGATCGACGTGCTCCTGACGCCGTGGACCGCCGCCGGCGTCCACTCGGACCCCGCCACGCACTTTTATCTCCCCCGCGCACAGCTCACCTCGTTTGACAAGGGCTTTCTGGTCGCGTGGAATGGCGCCACCGCTGACAGGAACCCGCTGCTGCTGCGGCGGCTGGAGGAGGCCGTTCAGTACGTGGTTGGGTTCCACGGGTACTTGCAACGGGGGGTGGGGGATGCCGCCACGCTGCTGCTGCTCGAGGGCGCGCTCGAGGGCGCTTCGCCCGGCGAACGTGCGAGATGTGAGCCACGAGAGCTGGGGGGCGTGGAGGGGTTGTGGAGGCGGCTGGTGAAGGGGCAGGCCCGCCTCCCAATGCGGCTGGCGATGGTGCAGGAGTGCGCGCGGGAGTGCGTTCGTCGAGCCGGGGGGGGCCTCCCGCCAGCAGGGGGGAACCCAGAGCAGTGGGAGTGGGAGGGTGGCGACTGGATGCGGGCAACGATGCAGGGTTGGCGGTCTGATGATTATGGTTAAAAGTAGAGCGGCCTCCCGCCGCCCCTCCCCGCACCCCGGCTCCTCGCCTCGCGGCGTGCGCACACATCGGCTCTCATAATCTGCTCTCCCTCTCATCTGCTCCACCTCCGAGCGGAGCTCGCGGTGCTCACACGTCACGCAGAGACCAGAGAGAGAGAGAGAGAGAGACAGAGTCAGACGAGACTCGAGAGAGAGAAGGCTCCTCGCCGCGCGGCCTCCCCCTCCACGCCGCATACTGTAATCTACTCTCCCTCTCATCTGCTCCACCTCGGTGCTCACACGTCACAGTACACAGACGACGGAGAGACTCAGAGTCAGACGAGAGACCGTCTCCGGGGACGAGAGAGCGAGCGAGGCTCCTGGAGCCGCGTGGCCGCCTCACCCGGCGGTGCCGCCGACGCCTGCCCTGCTGCTGCCGCCACCGCCGAGCCCGCTTCCGGCGCCTCGCCGACCGTGCGCGCGTACGCCACCGCCGCCTCCATCGCTGCGTCAAAGAGGCCGAGGTAGACCTGCCTTCCGCCCACATAGTGCACCGCCTCGAAGCGGCCACTGTGATGCTTAGTCACCCCCTTGTAGCCGGTAGCGCCGCTGCTCGAGAGGTGCAGCTTCAGCCCCTCCGCCTCTGTCGCCACTGTCGGGGGGAGGATGAGCCCTGGTACTCGCCGCCCGCCCGCGCGAAGGCCACCGCCGCCTCCACCGCCGTGTCGAAGGTGCCTAGTCTGACCTTCCTTCCGCCCACCCAGTGCACCGCCTCGAAGCGGCCGTTTCACGATTTCTTTTGCACGCCCTTGTAGCCCGTGCTGCTGCTGCTGGACAAATGCAGACGCAAACCCTCCGCGACCGCCACTGGCGCCGCTGGCGCCGCCGCCGCCGGCCCCGCTCCCTCCTCAAGCGGCGCCGGCTCGCCAACCGCCCGCGCGTACGCCACCGCCGCATCGACCGGCGTGCCGAAGGTGCCCAAGCTGACGTTGCCATCACCACCGTGCACCTTAACCGCCAAGAACCGCCCAGATGGCCGCTTGTACACGCACTTGTAGCCGGTGCTGTTGCTGCTGGAGAGGTGCAGCCGCACCCCCTCCGCCTCCGCCACCACCGCTGCCGCTTCCGCCTCCGCCCTCCCCTCTGCCGCCTCCGCAGCCACTGTCGGAGGCTGGTACTCGCCGACCGCCCGCGCGTACGCCACCGCCGCCTCCACCGCTGAGCCGAAGCAGCCGATGTAATCGTGCCTTCCGTGCTCCGCCTGGAAGCGGCCATTGTAGAGCCGCTTCACTCCTTTGTAGCCTGTGCTGTTGGTGCGGGAGAGGTGCAAGCGCAGCCCCTCCGCCTCCGCCACCAGAGCCTCCCGGCTAGACATGGCCTCCGAGCCTGCTGGCGCTGCCCTCCCAACCGTCGCCACCGTCAGAGGAGGCTGAGCCGGAGGCCCGGCTCGTGCTGCGCCGCAAGCCGCCTCCACAGCCCGTTCCGGAGGCCGAGGCCGAGGAGGAGGCTGAGGCTGAGGTCGACGGTAGTCCGTTCCTGTGGAGTCTGATCGCGCGTACGCCACCGCCGCCTCCACCGCCGTGTCATAGTAGCCGAGGGAGACACTCCTTCCGTCCACCCCCCCGCGCCTGTGCTGCGCCTTGAAGCGCGAGCCGTCCTTGTACACGCCCTTGTAGCCGGTGCTGTTGCTGCTCGAGAGGTGCAAACGCACGCCCTCCGCTTCTGCAGCCACCGGGGCCTGCGTCACCGGAGCCTGCGTGGTTGGCTCTGCCGCTGCTGGCGCCTCCGCTGGCTCGGCTGCTGCTGGTGGCGGAGGTGGAGGCGTGTACTCCCCGACCGCCAGCGCGTACGCCACCGCCGCATCGACCGCCGTGTCGAAGTTGCCTAAGCCGACTTTGCCACCACCACCTCTCGGCCGGTCCGGCGGTGCGCAGGTATAACCAGCCCTGAAGCGGCCAGAGGCCACCTTGTGCACGCCCTTGTATCCGGTAAGGCTTTTGCTGGAGAGGTGCAAGCGCACGCCCCCCGCCACCGACACCACCACCATCTCGCGTCAGGAGTAAAGTACTTTTTGGCCCCCGCGAGCGTGGAATAGGACCGCCGCAAGCGGCGTGGCGTGGAGCGGTTGAGCGTCCCTCCGGGGGCCCCTCTGCGCCGGGGAGGCGTTGTTGGCGGCCAGGACGCAAGCGTCCGTCGCCGTTTTCAAACTCGGGGCCCACTCCGCTACGCTCCGACCCGAATTTGGGGGCCATGAAATTTAAGGTGTTGCTGCGCAAAAGGGGTGGCGCGCGGGCGCGCGCGTGCGGGCGTCGAGCGCGGAGCGGCAAACACAATGACGTCGGAAAGCTCTGCATCAAGTATACAGTAGGCTCTAAGCACGGAACCAGAGCGCGAAGTATCCTCTCCGCCCCGTGCAAACGAGTGGCGAGGGCCGGGGAGGGCGCTCGCGTGGGAGGCGGGGCGAGGTGCCGCAACGCGGCGCCGCGCGGCGGAGCGCTCAGTCGCGGCACGCGTCTCGACCCAGCCTGGAGCTCACTAGGGATCACACCACATAGTCCTCTCCACCGCTGATCGCAGCCGTCGCTGCCAGGCTGGCCGATCAGCCGCCGGCAGCCGGGAGAGGCGCTCGAGCCCTCAGTGCTCCACCACCTCGGCCGGAATGCCCACGGCGGCGAGGTTCGTCACCACCTGCTCGGCCGGGAGGTTGCTGACGAAGCACTGGCCCTCGCCATCGCCGGGGAAGGTGGCGATGGATGACGTCAGGCCCGCCTTCTTGAGGAACAGCTCGATCGGCGCGACGTAGCGCTTCTCAGACGAGATGGAGACGCAAGTGAACGCGGTCGTGCCGTCGACGAGCCGGGCGCCGTCTGCGGCCTCGAATCGCTCGACCGTGGCGTCGGGGTCGTTGGCGGCAGGGTAGTGGTCGGTGATGAAGGAGACGACATCGCCTGAGGGGACAGTGATGTTGCCGAAGAGTCGTTCGAGGACGTTGACGATCACGCGCGCGGCGTGGAGGTTGCAGCACGAGATGACGTACCCTTTGATGTCCTTAACGTCCGTGGTGGAGCCGTAGAGCTTCTGCCCGATGTCCTGGTCGACGGTGCGGTTGGTGCCGCTGAAGACACGGTCCCAGTCGTTCGGGCTCTCCGAATCGAACGGCTTGTCAGGGTCGATGATCGCCGCGAAGCGCGCCTTGAGATCAGCCCACTCGTCATACAGAGGAGACGAGCGCGTCGCTCGCCCGGCATGCCGTGGCGGGCACTCCTCTCCAAGCAGGGCCATCGCGCGCTCAAGCCGGTCCAGCCGTTCACGCATGGGCAAGTCGTCCGTCGTGTACGACGACCGTGGGAGGGGGCGGCCTTCTTCCCGCCACCGGTTCCTCGCTGCAATGATCGCTGCCTCAAGCGGACGCGATCTGCCGGATGCGTCGACCGCAATTCCCGGAATCTCGGCCCTCACCACACCCGGCAACACAACTTCCCCATGCCGCAGGTAGACCTCGTACACCATCCGCCGAAGCCGAGCGGCCGGACTCTCCGCCGGAATTTGTTGGCGTGCTGTCGCATCGTCATCCGGCGGCTCCTCCTCTATGAGACGTTCGGGAGCACGCCCTGCCGTCGCTCTCGACGTGCGCCGCACACCTGCGCGGACAGTGGGAAGCCGTTTCCGTCATGTGTCCTCGTGTGCCCGGAGAGCCGTAAGCCGGCGCGCACCGGTGGCAGCGCAGGATGAGGCGGCAGCAGAGGAGGGTTGGGGCGCATTTGAAGGCGCTGGCCCCGACGCGCCATTGACTGGGTCGGGGTGGTTCCTCAACCCTCTGGTTTCTACAGTCAGGCAGGAAGAGTCTGAGCAAGGGGGGCGGATGGGGCTGGCTGCGTCAAGGCTACTCGGGCACGCAGCGCCTTGGCTTGGCCCCCGAGCGGACAGGCGGTCGACGACGCGCAGCATGGCGGTGAGCGCAGCCTGACGACGCGTCTTGATGGACGGATCCTTCTGCCGACTGACCAATTTCCTCCACCCCTCGATCAGCGGCTTCGTCACCAACATGCGCTCGAGAGGCGGAGCAGCCTCGATGCGATCCAGTTCGGTAGCTATCTTGTAGCGCAGCGCATCGTCAAAAGGCAGCTTGTTGCAGGCGTCGCGCGCCTCCCCGAGGTCACGCAGGAAGCTCTCCATATGTGTTGCAACAGACCCCCGAGCCGGTTGTTGCTGCACCGGCTGATCGAATGCAACGGCGGCGTGGTGGACGGGAGCGGCGGGGGAGCAGGGGGCGACGGCGAGGTTGCGTCCGGAGCCCGGCGGGTCGATCTGCATCGGCTGCACGTCGGCCACGTCGGCTTCTGCCAGCTCTGGCTGCTGGGCGGCGGTCAGCGTGGAGAATGGCAGGACTGTTTGGGGCGCATTTGAGAGCGCTGGCCCCGACGCGCCGTCGGTTTGGTCGGGGTGGTTCCACACCCCTGGTGTTTCTTCATTCCGTCGGGGAGGCTCTGTGCAGGGCGCAGCGAGGGCCGTGGGGAAGGGGCCAGTGGGGCGATGGGCACAGAGGGGGCAATGATCCGAGGTGTGGGCAGGTGTCTAGGTCTGGCTGTCCAGCGAGAGTAGGATGTGCTTAGTACCTGTGCACGAAGGACAGAGGCGGGTCGGAAAGTCGAGACTGCTGACCGCTCCTCCATGGTCCCCCGCCGGTGGACGCCGAGTGCAGTCATCGGTATGCGGGAGGCGTGCGCAAGGGCTCGCGGGGCGGACGCGACGACCTGGCGCTGCCGTCGCGGAGGGCTCGGGCTCGAGTGAGCGCCGCCAGCGACTCGTCGTTGCGGCCGTGGCCGCGCGGGCCACCTGCATCGACGGGCTGCTTAGGGGGGGGGCGCCAATGATACGCTTGCCCGTCGGCAATCCATCCCGTGTTGGCTTCAATTGTACTTCTGTCTTGGCACCAGCTGATGGCTTGCCCGGCCGACATCGCCGGATTCGTGCACGGTATTCGGATTTTGGCTATTTGTTCGTGCGGGGGTATATCGCAGATTTGTCAATGGTACCGCGTCTGCGACGCGGGCGCCTTGCGGGCAGAGCCCTTAGGACACCCTTTTATCTTGCGCGGTCAAAATGTGACACGCCTGCTACGATAATGACGGCGTCTGACAGCCGCGCCCGCGCCGACCTGCGGCGCGGGCGGCGGCAGAGCCACCACCTTCGGAGAGCAGTGCCGCGCTTCTTTCACCCCATGATTCGCCCACCGCCGCAGCGTGGCGGTCCCAGAGAGGGCCAGCACGCGGGCTCCGCCGACGCTCTCGCAACGCGGGTCGCGCCGCGCGCCTCCCGGACGAAGCGTGTTGGTGCGCGACGGCGATCCCCGCCTGCAGGGAGCGGAGCACACGCGTCGGATGGCGAGGGCAGCACAAATATTGCACTCACGTCCCAGTATGGCAGCAGCCGGACGGGTTGGGTGGCGTGAGGGCAGGGTGGTGAGGATGATTCCACAGATCTCGCTGGAAATGGCCGTGTCCTTCCCGGGGGAGGCAGGCGAGCACGCACCTCGCGTCCGAGCGCGAGTCGACGAGTGGTCGCCGAGAGATCGCCGAACCACGTTTCGAGTGCGCGCGCACACAGCACAGCTGCGGGTTGTAACTCGACTGCCGATCGCGCGTGCGGGATGTAAATGCAGCTCGCTGGCGCCAGTGCACGGTGGCAGGGACTGGAGGCTCGGCCGAAGGGGAAGAGCAGTCCTCAATCGTCACGTAGAGGTCGCTGGGCTGGATCCATCGAACTGCCACACACCTGGAGCGGAGGCACATCACGTCTTGCGGCACACTCTCCGACAGATGCATGCCTTTTGAGCAAGCCCACGCGCCTCCACCGTCGCGTAGTATGCCAGCGGCACGCGGGTACGCCTACGAGTCGTGCGCGCTCGGCAGTAATCGGCGTTGAGACATCCTAGCGCGCACATCGAGAGCGCCGGGTTGTGTTGCCGCGAGGAATCCTGCTCGAAGATGGGGTCCGAGCGGCGCCTGATCGCATGGGATGGATTAGTGGGGCTATCACGTGGGTACTAGGCCTGCTCAGTCAGGAGTTGGCGAGTGTGTGGGAGATTCACGCCCGTCGCTCAACGTCTGTTGAAAAACTGTTCGCTGAGCAAGCTCACGGTCGAGCGGGCTTGACGCGCGCTTCAGGATAGCAAGAGGCGTGCCCATTCCCCTGAGGAGCGTGCGGACACGCCTGGGAATCGTTGTGGAGCGACCATGGACTGGGATGACAGCCGGCGAAGAGGCTGCGCCTCGACGGGGAAGCTTCACGGCGGAGGCTGTGAAGTCGCGGCATCGAGTTCAACCTGAGCGCACGCACGCACCGTGCTGGGGAGGAGTTGGCCTGCGAGCGGCGAGCGCTCCCGAGCGCGCGGCGCCCCGTTCTGGCCATCTTTCGCTTTCCCTCCTCAAAATCGCCTCTATTTTGTGCGCCTCCGGTGGCAGGTCTAGCCGGGCCCGATTCGTGGTACTTTTGATCTTTGCGCGCCGGATCTCGATTTCCGAGGAGCCGCGGGCCTCCACGCCTAGGCTAGGCATTCTCGCGGCTGGTTCACTCCCGGGAACAGATCCCTAGCCATGAACTCCCACTCGATACCTCCCAAGTCTCAGCCACAAGGACTATTTGCGCTATTGGGTGGAGACTCTCAAGCTCGCGGTGCAATTCGCTTCCCACTACGAGGCGAAGCCGAGTGCGCCGCGAAGAGGGTCTCTGCCGGCACCCCTTGGGTCCCCTCTAGTCGCGAAGCGGCTGTGCCGAGGGGCCCTCGCGCGTAACTGTGTCGCCCTTCGGACTGTACCTGCCCTGTCTTATTGATTCGGTTTGGTTCGGTTCGGTTCGGTTCGGTTCGGTTCAGATCGGTCCTCTCCGATTATCAGTTCCATTTATTGGTTAGCATTGATCCGGTAAGTCTCGATTCATTGCTGGTTAGTCGTCCTGTTGAGTAAGTTCCGGATAATAATATGGTTACTGATCAACTGGCTCAGTGCTTGGTTCGGTTCGGCTCGGTTCGGTTCGGTTCGGTCAGTCCTCTTTGATCGGCTCCGGTCCGGTGTCCTGTCCTGTCTTGTCCAGTCGAGTCCCACATTAATGAGTGTTGATCCGGTAAGTCTGAGTTATCGCTGATTCGCCGTCTCCTGTCAATTAAGTTCCGGTTAATTAGGTTACGGACAAACTAGCTCAGTTTTCAGTTCGGTTTGGCTCGGTTCGGTTCGGTTCGGCCAGCCTTCTCCGGTCGGTTCTGGTCTGGTGTCTTGTCTTGTCTTGTCTTGTCCGGTCGAGTCCCACGACTCTGGGCCATGCGCCCGTCCAGCCACCGTTCGGCGCCGCTCGCGGGGCGGGCCTCGGTCAGGTCCCGGCGGAGCGGTCGCTCGACGCCTCGGTCGGTCCCGGCGGAGCTGTCGCTCGACGCCTCGGTCAGGTCCCCGAGATGGTCTCCCCGACCCCCGAGGCTTGGCGCACCGCGGGAGGGGGGCAGCCCAGCCACCCTGCACCGCCCAAGCCGCCCTCTGCAAGCCCAGGCGCGCCGTAGAGAGTGCCGACGCGATGTCGACGATTTTGGCCTGCGAGACGGGGGCGAGGAGCGGAGAGGTGTGAGGGCGCCATGTGCCCGGGCGACGGGCTAAGGGGCCGCTACACGGGCCGCAGAGCTCACCAGCGCCGGCACGGTGGCGCTGGTAGCATGGTGCTGTTTGCGGCCGCGTGCTTCCAGTAGCGATAGCGACGGAAAATTCTCTCGACCTGCTTTCGGCGTCTCGATTTCCCGGCGGCACCTTAGTCGGACTCGGTCTTGCCGAAAAATGACAGTCTCTGTTGCCCTCGATTCTGCGCCTCTCACCATCGATGTCAACTCTGGCGACGACAGCGGCTTCGATGTCATGGACATCGACTCAGTTGCTCTTGCTGGCGTCGATCAGCTGCCGGCTGACCTGCGCACACCGCAGCTTCTCGATTTCTTCGGGATGAGTCCTGCCTCCCTAGCTTTTGGGCCACCCCCGGCCTGCGCCCCGGCTGCCCCACGATTGCCGTCCGGTGATGGCACTGCCGACGACCTGGAGCAGCTCCTCGCCGCGGCGCAGTCGGGCACGGCTGCCGCTCGGGCCGAGAAGGAGCAGCCCGCTATGTGGACGGTCGAGGAGGACTTGCTCATCGTCGACCTGGTCGAGACGATCGGCAAGCGCTGGAACCGCATCGCCGCGGCGCTACCCGGGCGGACCGAGAATGGTGTCCGCAATCGGTGCGCGCACCGCTCCGCTCTCAGCCCGGCTACGCACCGCTCCGCTCTCAGCCCCGGGCAAAATGCCGCGCAGAGCGTGCCTCGCAACCCGCCGCACTAACCTCGCCCGCGCCGCTCTGTGAGTCAGGTGGAACCGCATGGAGAAGGCGCAGCAGGTGCGGAAAGACAAGGGGGATGGGCACGGCTACCGGTGCGGCCGGTGCGGGCAGCCCAAGCGCGGGCACATCTGCCCCGCGCTGACGTCGGGCGAGCGGCTCGAGGGCGAGAACCTGGTCAAGAGGGCCACCGCCCTCTCCGCGATGGCCTCGAGGAAGATAAGCGTGCAGCAGGCCGCGCAGGCGCTGGACAAGGAGCGAAAGGCGAAAGGCTCGTCGTCCAGGGGACTCAAGGGGAAGCTGGCCAAGATGGGCTCGTCGCGGATCCTCAACGTCGCCGAGCTCTTTGACCTGGTCGCCGGGTCGTCCGACCCGTGAGCGTGCCGAGGACCTCTCCAACGCGGTCGTTAACGGGGGTTGGCAGCCGCTCGCGACGCCTCGGCCCTCGCTCGCTCGCTCGCTGACTGAGTGAGTGAGTGAGGAAGGGGAGACTGAAAGGGGTGCGCGTACTGTTACATTCACCATGTGTGTCCAATCGCTCGCGTACCGGATTTTTTTTCTCGAGCGTGCTCGGCTGGGTTCCGGCTCCTACCCGGATAGGGGGTCTGTCGGCACTGACTCGCGCCAAAACGCCCTACCTACCTACCTATCCCCAGGCCGCGCAGCGAAGCGGAAAAAGATGAAAATACGGCTACCTACCTATTGCAGGGCCCTTTTGGGCCAAACAAGACCAACCTACCTACCTATCTGGGAGGGGCCAGCAGAAGACACCCTATCCGGGTAGGAGCCGGAACCCAGGCATGGCTCGTTGGCTCTTCCTCCCTGCAGCCGCGGCACTTTTGACCACCACGACGCCACGTCTGCGTCATCCGCGGCTCGCCGCACCGCGCGCCATCGTCAAAAACACGGCGTCTGATGCCTTTGGAGAAGACTTCTACGCGCTTCGCTTTGACGGAGTGCGCAGGTTGTACGGCGAGGCCGCGCCGGAGCGGCTGAGGTCCTCGCGAGTGGTGGTCGTCGGCCTCGGCGGTGTGGGATCGTGGGCTGTCGAGGCGCTCGCACGCTCTGGCGTCGGCGCGCTCGTCCTTGTGGACCTGGATGAGCTGTGCATCAGCAACACGAACCGTCAGATCCACGCCCTCGCTTCGACCGTCGGCCGCTCCAAGGCGCGCGAGCTCGAGCGCCGCGTGGCCGAGATCAACCCCGACTGCGCGGTGAGCGTACGCGAGCAGTGGGTCCTTGCGGGGGACGCCTCCTCCCTCCTCGCCGAGGAGGCGGCCGTCGCTGCAGAGCGCGGAGAGACGCTCGCGCTGCTGGACGCCGTGGACGGGTACCGCGAGAAGGCGGCGATGGCGGTCGCTGCGATCGAGCTCGGCCTGTGCCGTGCTCTGCTGGGCGCGTCCCTTGACACTCCGCGACCGTGTCCGTGGCATGTCCCGTAGGCTTGCACGTCGTACTGTGCGGCGCGGCGGGAGGGCGGTCGGACCCGACGCTCGTGCGGGTTGCCGACCTCGTCGACGTGGCGGAAGACGGGCTGCTGCGGTCGGTGCGGCGAGAGCTGCGCAAGAAGCACGCCTTCCCACCGGGCGCCCCGCAGCGCAAGGGCGGCGGGCAGGGCGGCGGGCAGGGCGGCGGGCAGGCGTGGGCGGTGCGCAAGGCGGCTCGCAGCAGGTCGGGCGGTGGCCAGGCGTGGGGCGTGCCTTGCGTCTACTCGCTCGAGGTGGCGCAGCGGCAGCCCGACGCAGAGGGAACCCTCTGCGACCGCTTCGGCACCGCGTGCTTCGCGACGGGCGCCTTTGGCTTCGCGGCGGCTGCGGCACTCACCGGCGTCCTCGCGCGCGGAGAGAAGCTTCCGAGGCGGGCGAGGCGGGGGCCTGCTGCCGTGGCGGAGGCGGCACACCGCGGCGGCGGCGGGGAGCTCCCGTCCGAGGAGGCGTCGGGAGGCGATTTGCCCCTGTACGACTCTCACTGCCACGCCATCGCCGACGCTGGCGCGCTGCTCGGTGAGCCGGAGGGCGGCGGACTGGAGGAGGGCGTTGAGGCTTCCCCCTGAGGCGTGACTCCTCTGGCCGTAGCCGGGCCGAGCTGCGCCGGCGTGTGCCTCGTCTCGTCGGGAGAGGCGGATTGGGCGCCGGTCGAGGCGGCGGCGAGGACGGGCGCACGGCACGCCCTCGGAGTGCACCCGTGGCAAGCGCACGAGCAGCGCGAGGGGTGGGGCGGGAGGTTGCGCGAGGAGTTGCTGCGCCAGCCGACGGCGGCCGTCGGCGAGGCGGGCTTGGATCGCGCGCGGAGGGAGATCCCGTGCGGGAGAAGTGCGAGGCGCGAGGCCGCGGAGAGGTTGTGGTGGTGGACGCCGGCGCCTCGCGACGCCGCGTAGGTGGGAGGTGCAGCTCGACGCGTTCCTCGTGCAGCTGAGGTGCGGACTCCGCGCAAGCACCCAGTACAGTGCTGCTCTGGCCACCCTCGAGGCCTCTAGTGCTGTAGGCTGGCGAGCGAGCTGCGCAGGCCGCTGGTCGTGCACGCCGTGCGGTCCGACGGCCCTCTGCTCGACCTCTTGAGAGCCGAGGTTGCGGGCGGCGGCCCGGGCGGCAAGGCGGCTCTGCCGCCGGTGGTTGTGATGCACGCGTTTGGCGGCTCGGCGGAGACCGCGCTCGCCCTCTCGCGGCTCGCGGAGGCCGCAGAGGCGAGAGTCTACTTTGGTTTCTCCGAGCGAGCTGCGCGGCTCAAGCGTGCGCCGGCCGCGATCCAGGCCGTGCCCGCCGAACGGCTGCTCATCGAGTCGGACGAGCACGCGGCAGACGCTGCGTGCAGGGCGGTGCGCGGGGCGTGCGACAGGCTCGCGGCCGCGCGAGGGTGGAGCCGCGGCGAGGCCTCTGAGCGGACGGCGCGGAACGCGCTCGAGGCTTTCGACCCGAGCGCGTGGAGCAGGACCGTAGCGTTGTGACGGTCAGACGGTGTTAGTTAGGACTTGTGTTAGGTGTTTTCACACGCGCTGGTCTCAGATACAGGAGTACTGTGATCAGTACGAAACGTACAGAAAATAATGAGGAAGAGGCGAGACGCGCGCGAGAGAGACGCGTCGAGACTCGAGAGAGACGAGCACATGAGACACTACACTCGAGACCGGTGGCGCGGGAGGGCGGGAGGCAGATGCATCGCCTCAGCGACGCTCCTGGTCGCGCGCCCCGTCGCGCTTCCACCCGGCACGGGCTGCGCCCTCCCTCGCCGCTTGCCCGACCCGCCCCTTGACCGGCTCGACGAGCAGCCGCTGGTACGCGCGCCTCGCCCGCCCGACGAGCCACGCCGACGGCTCCGGCACCACCTCGGCCCACTTGAGCGGCAGCAGGTAGAGGAGCACGCGCGGCGTGTCGCGCGCCGCCAATCGGCCCGCCTGCACCGCGCAGCCCCAGCCCGCCAGAAAGAAGGGCAGCGCGAAGCGCGAGCCGCGCAGCAGCAGGCTCTTGCCGCCCGCCCACGCCCTCCTCGCGAGAGCCAAGGGCGGGAAGCGCTCGGCGAAGCGGCGCACGCGCGCCGTCACATTCTGCTCGCGCAGGAAGGAGGGGAGCGCCGCCTGCGCGCGGCCGTACACCTGCCCCCACGCCGCGGCGCCGACCGCCTTCCTCGCCGCGCCGCGTACGCCCGGCACGCGCGTCGCCGACACCGCAGCGACGACGATCGCCGCCCGCCTCGGCGGCGGGCAGTCGCCGTACGCGGTCTCGACCGCCGTCGCGGCAGACTGCGCCGCCGTCTTGACGACGTTGAGGTCGTTCTTGACGAGTCGAGGCAGCGGCAGCAGCGCACGGCGCAGCCGCAGCACCAGCCGCACGGCCGGCTTGAGCGCCACCGCCGACGAGCGCAGGGCGAGCGCGATCTGGTCAAACTCCTCTCGCAGATGCTGCCGCGTGATCTCGACGACGGCGACGCCGCCGAGCAGGCTCGACGCCACGATCTCTATCGATAGGCCGAGCGCCCGACTCGCCCGCAGTGCCACGGCCCAGCCCGCCAGTGCTGCAAGCGGCGGGAGGTCGCGGCGCAGGCTCGCCTGTACGCCGGGCGCAGCAGAGGAGGCGTTGACGATGCCTTGGCTCGCGCGGCCAGCCACGCAGCCGATGACCGCCCACGGCACCAGCGCTGCCGCGACAGGCACCTGCGCGATCGCCGCGCCGGCGAGGGCAGCCGCGGCCACGCCCGTGTGGCAGCCCAGGCCGAGGCTTCGAGTCGCCGTCTGCGCGACGAGGCTGGACTGGACGAGGCGCGCGGGCGACGGAGCGCGCGCGCCCGCAAAGACGAGTGCGCCGCCCGCCATAACTCCCGTCAGCTCCATCGTGTTGCCGCGCAGCCGCTCGTAGCCGACGCGGGCGCCGAGCACGTCCCGGCGCACCGCGGTCTTGAGCTGGTTCTTGGCACGCGCCTTGGCCTCGGCGATGCCGGCGGCGGCGGCCGAGAGCGAGAGTGAGAGGAGGAGCAGGGAGCGAAACAGGCTGGACGCTGCCGCCATCGAAAGCACCGCAGGGTTCCGCGAAGCAAGCTGCCTGGGGGGGGACGCGTCGCTCGCGCGGGAGACGGCGCGTTTTGCCACCACAGAGTGAGTCTATCGGTAAGCGCGGGTTAGCGCGGGTTCCACCGGGTTAAGCCACACTAACCCAGCACGGGTCAGCACGGGTTAGAACGGGTTACCATAACCCGACGCTAACCCGGCGCTAACCCGGCGCTAACCCGGCACTAACCCATCCTAACGTATGCCCCCGAGCAGCGCGGGTTAGCGCCGGGTTAGTCTCGGGTTAGTGCCGGGTTAGTCTCGGGTTAGTGCCGGGTTAGTGCCGGGTAAGCGTCGGGTTATGGTAACCCGTTCTAACCCGTGCTGACCCGTGCTGGGTTAGTGTGGCTTAACCTGTGTGGAACCCGCGCTAACCCGCGGCTTACCGATGACTCACTCCTACACGCTCAACTTACCGATAACGGCGTTGCCGCGGAGAGCACCAAGGGGCAAGGTGCAGCCAAGCCGTCCGAGGGAGAGACTAACCCGGGTTAGCGCCGGGTTAGTCTCGGGTTACCATAACCCATGCTGACGTATGCCCCCCAGCCGCATGGGTTAGTGCCGGGTTAGCGCCGGGTTAGGGCCGGGTTAGGGCCGGGTTATGGTAACCCGTTCTAACCCGTGCTGACCCGTGCCGGGTTAGTGAGCACTAACCCGCGCTAACCCGCGCTTACCGATAGACTCACCACAGACTACTCGAGTACAGCTGTAGGGGGTTGAGACGCTCTGTAGAGGCCTCAGACCCCCCTCTGAGGATGGGTCGGACCCCTGGCTTGGCGGCACAGAGGGTTTGACTCTGACTCTGTGCCGCCTCTGTGGCCTCTCTTGGCTGATTTTGGCCTCAGAGGGTCCCCGGCCGAGGGTCTGTCTTGGCGCGGCACAGAGGGCGTTGACCTCAGAGGGTAGCCCCCTCTCGGCAGACAGAGGCGAGAGCCCCGGGCGGAGGCCGGTGCGCCTAGCCCTCCACGAACGTTCGAACGGCGCTGACCAGGGAGGGCGGGGAGGGGGCGGAAGCAGCGAGCATTGACTAAGGCGCTATTCTATACGCTTCGAGCGCCCGGCACCACACACGCTTGCTGCTGCTGCAGGCTCGCCCACAGCGCCCGCGCCGAGCCCTGCGCGTGCGACAGCTTCGCGCGGCCAGCGGCGCCGCCGACCCGTCAACTTAAGTGAGGATGTGCTTGGAGCGGCCGCCCGAGGAGGAGGTAGTGATCTCCACATCCGTCCCCTGCTCCAGCTTGGCCATGAGGCGCCGCGGCGTCCTAGTGAACTCGAACTTGAGGTATCCGAAACCAATGGAAGCTGGGCCTGCTGGGGGGGGTTCTCGCTGCTTGGTGGGGGATCACGACAAACTTGAAATACCGCTGAAAACTCCCTCTGAGGAGCGGCCTCGCGGCACGCGGGGCTTGCCTTGGCGTCTCAGAGGGTCCCCGTAGCCTCAGAGGCTGCGCCGAGAGAGGCTGGCTTGGGGGCACAGGCCTTCAGAGGGTCGGCCCAGGTGCCCTCTGAGCCGCTCGTGGATGGCCTCTCTTGGCACAGAGGGTACCCTCTGAGACGCGCAGATCTGGGCCCCCTTGCCTCAGACCCCCCCCCCCCCTCTGTTTTGCAACCCCCTAGTGGAGCAGGAGGTGGGCGGAGCAGGTGGACGTTTTTTTCTTTTTGTTTAGTAATAGCCAAACGCAAACGGCTTCTTCTTACGCTCGGCCCCAGTGGGGGGTGCCCGCGCCGCCTAGCTCCGCGGACGGGCCCCTCCACCCTTCGTCGAAGAATCATGTAGTCCCGACAAATCGCTGTCGTAGGTAGGATGCCGCAGCGCTTTTTCTTCTCTTACCAGTGCGCGCCCTAGTGCGCTTGGAGCACTTGGAGTGCAGTTATGGCTAACCTCGGAATGTGACACCAGAATGGCTGTGCTGGCTCCTACACAGCCATCTTACCTAAGGATGGCTGAGCTAGCTACAGCGCAGCCATAGCCTCCAGGCCGATGGCTGCAATACACACAGGGCAGCCATCCTTGGTAGACATGGCTGGAGACGCACTACCGCAGCCATACCGCCCGCCTCGAGGTGAGCCCTCTTGGCTGAGCTGGCTTCATCGCAGCCATCTTGGGTAAGATGGCTGGGGGACAGCCATTTCAGCCATTTCAGCCATCTACTATGGCTGGGGCACAGAGATACTAGCTTACACCATCCAGGAGCGCTTGGTGATAATTCGATGGCAGCCAATGGCAGCCGTCCCGCGAGGCCGGGGGCGGCAAGCGCGCAGCCATTTGTGCGTGTGGCGGGGGCGGCGGACGGCTGCCATCGAATTATCACCAGCCATGCTCCGGAGGATGGCTGCACTGACTGTGCCCCAGCCATAGTAGATGGCTGAACTGGCTTTGGCCCAGCCATCTTACCCAAGATGGCTGCGATGTAGCCAGCTCAGCCATGAGGGCCCGCCCCGGGGCGTGCGGTATGGCTGCAGTAGTGCGTCTCCAGGCTCCAGCCATCCCTACTCAGGATGGCTGCCCTGTGTGTATTGCAGCCATCGGCCTGGAGGCTATGGCTGCGCTGTAGCTAGCTCAGCCATCCTTAGGTAAGATGGCTGTGAAGGAGCCAGCACAGCCTTTGTGGTGTCACATTCCGAGGTTAGCCTGCAGTTATTAACCTCACATCCAGGGCCGAGGAGCTGAGAAGCGCACCCAGCGGGCCGGATGATCGGTGTCGGGTTGCGGGCAAGAGAGCCCTAGCCCCGGGGGTGCGCGTTCGCAGGGAAAGGGCCTTAAAGTAAACACGGGTCCCCGAGGGTTAGCTCTGCGCTCCGGGTTTCCCCTAGCAGCGGAACGCCCCCTCTACTCGGGGGCTAGTAGACACCAGGCACTAGCACGACAACACACCCATTCCTCACTGACTGCACCGCTCGGAGCCCCCTCGCTCCGCGCACGGTCTCCTCACCCCCCTTCCGAGGGGGGCCCTCCCTCCCCTCGGCCCTCCCTCCTGTTCGCCGCCAGCACTTGGAGCACTTGGAGTGCAGTCGGCAACCTCACATCCAGGGCCGGGGAGCTGAGAAGCGCACCCAGCGAGCCGGAGGATCGGCATCGGGCTACGGGCTAGAGAGCCCTGACCCCTAGCTAGGGGGGGGGCGCGCATTCGCAGGGCAAGGGCCTTAAAGTAAACACGGGTCTCCGAGGGTTAGTTCTGCGCTTTGGGTGTCCCCTAGCGGCGGAATTTTTCCCTCGCGCTGTGGGTCCCCCTAGCTGCGGAACGCCCCCTCTACTCGGAGCTAAAGAATACTCTCCGAGGGTTAGCCCCGCGTACCAGGTTTCCCCTTAACTGCAAGGACGCCCCCTCTACTCGGAGCTAGTGATACGTGATACGGGAATACGTACCGCCCCCACGCAGTACCTACACTAATCGACGAGAATACAAGAATACGCAGCTGCGAGACGCCTTACTCGAAGATAATACGAGAATACGCAGCTGCGAGGCACCTGTCGAGCAGCTTCCACGGCGAGCAGCTTACTTGAGGCGGCGAGGGAGGAGGCGAAGGCGAGGGAGGAGGAGGCGGCGAGGGAGGAGACGGCAAGGGAGGAGGTGGCGAGGGAGGGGGGGGAGTGGGGGGGGAGGGAGGGGGTAGCAGGGGAGCAAGGAAGGGGATGGCGGAGGAGGCGGAGGCGGGCGAGGAGGCGGCGGGGGTTGGCACGGAGGCGGCAGAGATGAAGAGGGGGGAGGGGGGGGGGAATGAGAGAGAAGGAGAGAAAGAATGAGAGTGAGAGAGAGAGAGGGGTAGGATGGGAGGGAGAGAGAGGGGGAAAGGGAGGGTTTGGAATCTCAGACTCCCGGGTGGAGACACTGCCCTTTCCAGGAGTCACGTGTCCCCAACGACCGACAGTCGGTAATGAGGGTTGGTTGATAATACGAGAATACGCGGGTTGTTGCACGAGTATATGGGCCACGATGTCTCAAATATGAGGGGTTTTGACTCCTACCGGCTCCTGACGCTATCCCTGGCAGCTCTAATGACCAGGATCAGTAGTGCTATGATAGAGGGTGCCCATACTAGCGCAGGAGCTGCCACACTCGCCCGGACCGTCCCCTTCTGGGTCCGGTTCCGCAGCCCGCGAGAGCCGATAGCGGGGCCGTGCCGCGGGTGCCTACTGCCGAGTGCCACAAACACTGCGCCGTCCCGCCATCACCTACAGGCTGTCTTGTGTGATGGTTGGGATGTCCAAACGCCACCATCTTGGCTCTTGCGACCTCAAACCCGCGAGCTGTATGGGTGGTCCTGACGTCGACAGACGCCCGAGGACCACGGTGAAGCTGAGCCGGAACGCGTCGACAAGTCTCGTCTGAGCCCGTTGCGGTCGCCGGCTGAGTCGCTGTGCACGGGCCGGTACCTCAGGCGTCACCTCCGCAGCCTCAGGTCTCACACTCCATCACCTCCGCCAGGACGCCGTCGGTGGCACGCTCGGCGGCGAGTTTGTGGCAGCCCCACAGCGAGCGCGGCGTCGAGCCTAATCGGTCTGGTCGGTTCGGCACACTCGATGGGGTCCACTGAGTGTGCCGAACGCGCGAGCGGTGCGTCTCGGCAGCCCGCGCTGGCTGCGGAGCTGCCACAAACTCGAGCCACGCTTTTTTGGGACATTTTCGACGCTTTTGGCCCATATACTCGTGCAACAACCCACGCAGCTGCGAGACGCCTATAAAGAAACAGCGAGGTAAAGTTCGGCGGCTATGATAAACCGAAAGTTGTCGTAAAACGCGGGCGAAAGCAAAGCAGAGGGCGGGCGCTTTCTGCCGCAGCGATGCCCGCAGCCTGTCGAGCAGCTTCCGCGGCGCACATGCGCCGCGGGGTTGAACGACAGCCGCGCCTCTCGAGCCACCCGTGCCACGCGCGGCGACGCGCACCCTGCGCGCCCGTCGGCGCACTGGCAGTACTGCACCAGCCAGCACGGCGTGGAGCAATGCATCCAGGGCATTGTG